CCTCTCTCTCTCTCTCTCTCTCTCTCTCTCTCTCTCTTTCATGCACACACACACACACACACACACAAGCACATACATATGCAGATTAGGATTTTGATTCCTCTCAAACGAGTACCAAAATTCACCAAAACTCAGCAAAATAACAATACTTAAGTAATGAGGATTCCACAGTCAAATTTTATTAACTCAAAGTTCTCAAACAAAAATAGCACACAAGCCCCAAAACCATTCACTAACAACTATTTAAGCAAATCCAAAATCCTAAAAAGCTATTATGAAATCCTAGCCAACCTTTTCTCTTTTAATCCTGGCCATTCTTAATTAACTGAAAATAAAAGATTAACCCTAGCCCCGTTAAAAATATAAGGGTGAGGCCCTAAACAATCAAATTAAGGCACATCTCTAAATTCACTAGGAAGGGGTTATTTCGATAATGAAAAGCCTTCAATTCGATCATCTCAACCTCAAGATGTATGGACACGAGAAAAGAAAGATTTCAAGTCTTGGAAACAATGCAACATGTAACGTATTATCTAGACTGTCAATTTTCAAGATTTTCAAGTGTTCACAGATCTTCTCAATCTACACTATTTGTGGATATTTAAATTTTATAATCAGAGATGAAAATAAATTTTCAGACCATCATAAAGATTTTTGATATTGAAACATTATATTTTGGTACTATTTGAAGGTGCGCCTTACTTTGATTGTTTAGGGCCTAGGCCTTATACAAACAACACCCTAAAATTAAATAGGTAACCCAAAATAATGTCCTTAACTACATTATTTGCCCCTTTTATGCCCCATGGTTCTATGGCCTTACCTTGCTCAGTCACAAACTATTGACTGTGGCATAGACTATTGATTGTGGCTGGAGCATGGTTGCATGACACACACACCCTACAATCTTCAATTGATATTTCATTTCGTGGCAGGTTGTAAAAATTGTGCCAATGTGGCCCCAAATGTGTTCAGAATTGAGGAAGATTTTGGAAGGGCAAGGGTCTACTGCCAATCACGAAATCCTGATTTAGTTCAGCAGGCTATAGATACTTGGTAAGTACTGAGCAACATAATTTCACACTTTTCTATCCTTTGATCTATAATCCAAGATGTCCTGTCTTTTCTCTTGTTTGCAGCAACAACAAGTATAAGAGTATTCCCCGGTTTGTAGGAAAAAATGGGCTCATTATTATGGTGGGATGTGTCTCTGTTTTTCTTTAGAAGTATGGGTGAAAAGAATAGAAATGAACAAATGTATCTCTAGAAACTAAGAATGTTATGATACGGAGGTCATGGAGTGACATAAAAAACACCCTTAGTGAGGTTACTGGACTACCAATCAAGGCAACATCCATCGTTTTAAAAAGTGCTGCCTTGGGCTAGTCGGCACCTGAGGCAGGGAAGGGGCCTAGTTGCCTCGCCTAGGGGGAGGCAGGCCCCTAAGTCGCCTGCCCTTGGCAGGCGTTTCAAACCTTAGCCCAGGCACCCGCCTTGCGCAGCTTATGGCTCAATGGTAGAAAATGCCCATGGGTTGTCGGCAAAATGGTCATTCCCTTATTTTAAGGGGAAGAAAAACATTGGGGGTACTTTAAAGCCCCGATTGCCTCCTAAGCATTTTTCAAGTAAGGGAAAAAAATAATAATCCAAAAGTCCAAATTTTTGTAAGTGTTTTGAGGAGAATAAACGCAAGAACTTCAATAAATTATTTTCAATCCATTTTTCTGCTTATTATTTCTTGTTATTTTACGTATTGTTTCTTTAGTTTCATTTTCTCTATATATTTGACTTCTGCTAATGGATTTCAGTTTTTTTAGTTTATGATATTGGACATGGAACCCTTTTGATCCACCCATATGGCACTGAGATTTTGAAATATGATTGTCTTTGACTTTTTGTGGTTTTATATCTTGCTTTTACATGTGTGAAATGTGATTCATCATTGCCTATTTACTTCCAAATTTTGGGATTTTCCTTTTCAAAATTTTAATGTCCAATTTGTAATGCATATTACTTCTAATTTACCTTAAAAATAAAATTTGTTAATTTATTACATACGTTATAGACGTGTGTGTGTGTGTATTCAGGCGCATATTTGTGCATGTATGTGTCGGCCACCTCGAAGCTGAGACATCTACCTAGGCAGCTAACCCCCTTGGATGCCCAGGCACCACATAGTGCATTTTAAAGCATTGTGAACATTGTACGTATAGAGATAGTAGAAGATTGGATAAAGCTATTTGGAAGATATAAGTTGAAGAGGGAAATTATGAAAGATTGTACATTCGTAAACCTAATTATGAGTGAAGCTCAAGAGAAAATCCAGGTCGTGTATTCTAGAGGAGTTGTTGGACTCAAGAGGGACATTTGTGGTATTTTCTAGGATCCCTAGGCATTGCTAACTCAACCTAGGTAGAGGACCAAGCACTAATGCAAAGAATGTATAGTGTGTTGGCCCTTTCTCTTGAGGGAGATTTTTGAATAGTATCATGTTTATGCAAACTGTTGATGGAATAAAAATGGGGCTAGACTATTTATTACTAAAAATTTTGTTCAATATGCAGAATGAGTTAAGATTGATGGCCAAGAAGTACCCATTAGTTAAGATTGATGGCCAAGTATCTAAAAAAGATTATTTTCGATATCTTGGGTTGATGATACATGAGAAAGGAGAGATTGATGAAGATGTCCCTCATACAATTAGAGCTGGGTGGATCAAGTGGAGATGTACATCCGGAGTCTTATGTGATCGTCGCATACCAATACCAATGAAACTCAAGTAGAAGTTCTATAGGATAGCTGTAAAACTAGCAGTGCTTTACGAGACATAATGTTGGGTGGGCAATAAATATATCCATAGAATTGGTGCAACTGAGATGATGATATTGAGAAGGATAAGTGGCAAGACAAGGAAAGATAGAATTTAGAATGATTATTTGAGGGAACTTAGGGGTAGTTCCAATAGGTGCTAAAATGAGACAAAATAGACTTAGGGAGTCCGGTCATGTGCTGTAGTGATCTAGAACAATACCTGTTAGTGGGGTGATTCGGTTCAAGTGGAAGGCTCTAAAAGGGCAAGGGGAAGGCCCCAGCGGACATGGATGGAAATAGTGAGAAAAGATATGGTGACTTCATGGATTAAGGGTATGACGGAATGACCCTTGATAGAGCGGAATGGCGGAACATGATTCGTGTAGCCGACTCAAAATAGTTGGGATAAGACTCGGATGATGAAGATGATGATGGTGATGTAGAATGTACTGTTCAAGGTGTGAAAAGTGCATATAGATTGACCAACTTGGTGGCGATAGATTTGGAACTTGGGTGTAAGTAAAGAAGAGATTTGGGTAGTGGGATGTAAATTTCCTTTTATTATCTCTCATGTTTTTCTCTTTCCGTTCTCTCTTCTTTTTCTTTTTTAAATTCTAGTTGTTTCTTTGATAAATGTTTTCTGTCCATACAAAAATTTTCCTTTTAGTATGTTGCGGGTTTTAGCACCTCTTTATACATGTAACTGAACAGAGCACTGATGTTATGTAATTATGTATCATCTGTAGTAAGTGTGAACATATGCCATCGTCCCTTACTATATCTTTCTTTTTATATGATAGGACTGTCTTTGAGGCCTTCTCTTCTAGCGAGGCTACCAAATCATAGTTTTGCTACATTTATCTGTAATTCTTTATAGGCATCAAAATATTGCTTGATGTAATGCTTACATATTGTGATCGTTGTGCATAATTAATTTTCTTACAACTGTTCATCTATTTAAATGTGGAATTTTGCTTACCCCCCCTCCCAAAAAAGCAAAATGCAAGTTTTCTTCAATCTAGTCTATCATAAAGTAGAAGTTCTTGGATATTTGGTATCCTAAGTACATCAGTTCCCAAGTGAAGTCAAAGGACTTCACCTAAATTACATTTCATTGTGTTCAACATTCTGAGCATTCTGTCCTTTAGGCTCTGACCTATACCTTAAAGTGCTGATGGAATAGTTTCTTATTCGCTAGCTCGCCTCTTATTTTCCGTGTAAATTTGTTAGTTGATTGATTATGGTACCATGTACATGTAGTAATCATTTCAATGTATCTAATTTCTTGTCTCTCTTTCTCCATAATCTCAGCCCAGTTGACTGCATTCATTGGACATCTGCCGCACAACTATCTTTGCTTGAAGACGAGATGCGCCGGGTAGAGAGGGTAAATGTAAGATATTCTTTTCATTCTTCTCCATAATGCTTCATAATGAGTGCATAGTCATTGGTTTACTAAATTGATCGCCTGGTTTGTTGCCAAAATATTGGTAATTATGCCTTTGGTCACTGGAATTGTGCATCTGTATCTTGAACATAATTTAGGTCAATTTGTTTGCATAGCAAATTTGATAAACTCCTTGTAGTGGGGCTTAAGTAGAATAGCCCTTTGGACTAACCTGAACCGAGTTACAACTCGTCAACCTCTTCGCCATTTAGATTCCTTTAGTGCTGGAGACTTCAACCAATTCCTTCCTCTGTCTCCAATAAGGAATTAAGAAAACTTGCATTCTCTCTTACTGATTATGTTCTGCACCTATGAGAGTGTAGCTCCAAAGGATCTTCACAACTCGTATCATTCCATAAGTTACATCGCATTGTCCATTATTAATTGAATATCTTTCTTGGAGTCATCAAGAAAGTACTAAATGCTCTCCCAATGTATGGCCGCTTCTCTTCCATTTCCGATCCCAAATTCTGTTTCCTTCTTCAACATGTCTTGTGATGATTACTTCTTTGACTAGGTTATTCTGTTTCACTGGCAATCTCCTACATCACTTGGCCTGTAGCTTTGTTAAACAAACCGAATCCCTGATTCCAAAGCCCCCCATGGACATCAAACAGCAGATCCCATTCGATTGGATGAATTCGAATCTTTTCCTTTGGCTATGTTCGATGCACAGAAAGTCTTTCTGCTGGCCCAAGTGGAACATTTTCCTTTGTACTGTTTTTATGGAGTCTATTTAACTCATAAATATTGCATTTTAGTTCTTGAATATTTTTATATTGTGCTTGCTCATTGATCTTTCATTTTATCGTCAAATGCACCAGGTCTACTACTCTTTTATCGAGTGTATCAGACACTATTCTTTCATTTTGTGGTCAAATGCACCAGGTCTACTACTCTTTTACAGAGTGTATCAGATACTGCTGGGTTCGTTTATATATTAGATATTTTATACTGTAAATGCTCTGCCCTATGCTAACAAATACACAATATATTTGATATGTGAGGTATTTTATCTTTCACATTGTAACAGAAATCACTCTGCATTTTTCAAAGAACTGTAGCTCTGTGCATATGAATCTTGCATTATTTTCATAAAAAGACAGCATAGTGTTTTTTTAACACTACACCACATATTAAAATCTTGCATTCTTGAACAAAAAGATTGCTGACCTCTATTTAGATCTTAGAGAGATAGAGGGAGCAACTTTCTGATCTACATACAGCATGCGGATAGTACGACAGCTGAATCTCTTTCTCTTCGAGTCATACTCAATGTGCCTGCAAATGATATGATTAAGAATACAAAGATTTCTAATTGAACTATGATGCCAACAGGTTGGTTTGATGCTTTCAGGGATGGGAGCCATGGCTTCTGATGTTTTTCAGATGGTAAGATTGTTGCTGTGGTGTGCTTGTTTATATATTTTTTATATCATTGCTTGGCTTGGTTAAGTTCCTATTTGTCATATTCATTTAAAACCTTCATTTAAGATCTTGTGCTTATTTGCAGAGCAAGTAGACATGGTGTTATCCTCAAAGGCTATCTTAGCTTATTCTGTGTGTAAACTAGAAAACTTGGTCTCAATGCATGTTGAGGGCATTTCTTTAAGTGATAACAATGGTTTTAAAGGGTTATCATGTGTCAAAACATTATTGTTTCAGGGAACTGTTATATTGTTCTCGTAAATCTTGTAATTTATCTACATTTTGTTACCAGTGGTTATCCAATTTGAAGCTCAACAGATGTGACGTTTGAAGAAATATCTCTTATGAAGAAAATTCTCTATGTAATAAATGTGTTCAAATGCTTTAGCATACGATGAAATTATTGATATTTCAATGGATTTTGAAGGATTGGTGAGTAACTTTTCATTCTTGTGGCAGGCAAGCACAAGATGGGAAAAACGTCAAGCAAAGGTCTTGGTAAGTATTTTGACCTCCTGAGTTTTATTTTATGCCATTGTAGAGGTAAGTTTATGACAATTACCATGTTAGATGAGTCTTTAATTCTTTATTTATAGGTGGATGTCCTTGAGTATGTAGTATCTTTTTGTTATATGGCGAATGGTTTTACAAAGGATTTGTGTCTTTCAAGATTTTTATGAGTTAAAAAAGAAGAAATTTGGAACATATGATTTATGATTTGGTGCTAACTCCTTCGCAACATTCTGAATAGTAGCCTTTTCCCAATTAATTGGGGTTGGCTTGGTGTATGAGTGTCTTGCTGTTTGTATATTCTTCTGGCACGTAATTCGGACAATTGCCTATTAAATGATATTTTGAGTGACACCAAGTGCAGCAATGCTAAGATTCTTTTTATGTTCGTTCTCATCGATCACATTTTCATTCTTCTGCAATAAAGGAAGAGAAGTGTGTAGTTATAAAGTGAAACTTACCATAGGATTCACAAGGGCCAGTATGTACAAGTTACGATATGGAGGCTATGAAGCAACATAAATATTCCCTAGAAAAGAATTGAGGAATACCAAGGTGCTATGATGCTCTTAACAATTTTGAGAACTTGAGTAGGCATTGGCTGACTCATGGACACAACATCCAGCTCCTAAAGTTTGCCAAACCTGTCCATTTGGTTCATCTCCTCATGCTTGTGATTTGAGGCAACACTATTACCCACTTTGGTTACCATACTATGTTAATTGGGAAGGTCATTACTTACTGTTAGCTATATAATAGCTTAATATATTAGCAAGAAAATGTTTAAAATGAAAATTTATCAAACCCCACCCAAGAGTTTCATTGTTTAAAATTTCACCCACTCCCTGTGTCCTACTTCCAAAAAGTCCAACAAGGTACACATCATATGGTTTCACATCTTGACAGGGGCAATTTCCAATTCTAATTCTCCATCAAAACCAAAGTAGCTTTTAGAAAAACTACCTATTTCAGCTATTAGTATTTTTATATATCAGTATGTCATTTAAGGCACCGTATGATATATTGGTATTTGTAAATACCGATGTGCAATATCTCATTGGTGACTTAATGAGATGGTGTTCTGAAACATTAATCTCATGAGTGACTTGTGTGGTGAGATGTGATGTTATAAAATACCGATACCTCAAAAGGTGTTTAGAGTGAGATATTGGTGTATGGAAACACCATTATCCTGTGAAAATTTAACACCTATTAGACATGGTATTATAAAATTCCAATATCTCTTTTTGATGAAATTGATTGTAAAAACTACCAATATCTCACAAGGTGACTTGGTGAGATATTGTTTTTTTTTAAATAACAATATCATTGTATATTTTGCAAGATATTGGTATTTTCTAACCCAGTATTTACCCATTATTGCATGTTCTTTTAGGGTTTTTTGCAATCAGGACAACAGAAATAGATCAAATGTTAAATTGTTTATCTTCCGAGGACGGTCTGATAAATTCCCTATTCAATATAATGATGATCAATTTCAAGGAAGATGACTTGGAAAAAATGAATTTTTATCCTTTTACAGTGTGCCAGTCTTTAGATAATTGTCATCTTCCCTGTGTTCAGTGGTGTGGTGTTCAATTCTTCTAAGAATCCTAAATAGGAATGAAGATTGCTTGTTTCCATGAAAAGTGACAGGTTTGTCATACAGACCTTCATTAAGCAGGTTTTGTTCAATATGACTTAGAACTAAATATATCATACAGTTAGCAAAAGGTTATCAAAGCATGGATGATTAGCAAAAGGTTATTGAAGCATGGATGATGTGAACCATATATGATATCTGTAGAAGGAAAATATTAGGAGCATATACATGCTAGAAATGTTTTACTCTAAACTGTGATTCCAGAGATCACGAAACTTATTGGATCATAGATAACATGGAGTTCATGGTCTCCTCATGGAAACTTATAATATATTTAGAAATAAAAAATCTCCTAAAGTGATTGAGGGTGGCCTAAAAGGCCCAAAACACATTTGTAGATAAAGATGAGGTTTATGGATTTAGGACTTTTGATATTAGAGCTTTCAAAATTCCAAGGTGCAGTCATGACGGGAGACTTTCCCTTGCTCTTTCATGAGCACTCTTATGGGTCTTTGACTAAATTAGCTCCAGTAATTCCTCTTTTCCCTTTTTCTTTTAGATGTTTATGGATATTTTGGACACTCAGTTGTATCATTTTCAAATTTAAAATATAGTTCTATTTCTCGGATTTGGTAGCAGCATGATTCCAATGGTCCAAATCGATTATAAAAATAGTTGAATGGGAAAAGGTTGCACAAGCCACTTTCTGGTTTCAATTTTTTTGGAACATTGTAGATGCATAACATGTAGTGACATCACATAGATGCCCATATATACTAGAAGAAACATAGAATATTGGGAAAATATCTCCATAGACCCTATTTTTGGGTTTCATTTCTCCATAGACCAAAGGTTTCAAAACCTATATTGCTGCATAGAGATTCTATCTTTTATATCTTCTAATCCTCTAGAGACTTACTTTACCTTTTTTTACTACATATTTTTAGCTCAATCAAATTTAGAGAAGACATCCTTTCTAAACCCCTCTATCTCTTCATTTGTTTCTCTCTCTTTCTTCGTGAATCTCCCAAACCCTTATCTCTCTAAAAATGTGGGATAGATATGGGGATAAAGAGAGAGTTGAGGGAAATTCGGAGAGAGAGAGAGGGGTTTGGGAGATTTACCGAGAGAAAGAGAAACACATAAAGTGAGAGAGGGGGTTTAGAAATGATGTCTTTTTTAAATTTGTTTGGGTAAAAAAGATAGGGTAAAAATAGGTAAAGTTGGTCTAGGGGTTACAAGAAATAATAAATAGAATCTCTATGAAACAAGGTAGGTTTTGAAACCTTGAGTCTATAGAGAAATGAAACCTAAAAATAAGGTCTATGAAGATATTTTCCCTCGAAGTATACATGCAATTATGGAAGTGCCTTTACCATATGTATGCGATACAATTACATGTTTTAATTGGATGCTTCATGGTAAGCGCTCCATGGTTTGTCTTAATGATAATTTGCTCCAGCAGGGATTATAAATTGCAAAATACATAATATATGAGAGGTTGAAATCGCGCTAGAAGCTAGAAGATGACTGAAAGGAACACCCACCTATTGAGTTCATACATCGTCTTCAAAGGAAGTTCGAGGTTATATTTCTTTTTATACAAATAATAAAATAGGGGGTGATTTCATGTCACCATGTCTTTGTAATAAAATGAAACCACAGTTCCAGAAAACCATGTTTGTGGCATTTGTGTAACCCCAAAAATTGCACAAACCCTCTCTTTATCCCAATAATCAATCCCAAAAAAAAAAAAAACAATCAATTTGCACCCTAGATGTGATCAAAATGAATTCCCCTCCAACAATGAACCTAGACCATTTATATGGTAAATTTCAAGATCTATGCCTTTACGATCTATCATTTTTTTCTTTTTTTAAACATTATTTATCCAATGATAATAAAACCATCTAAAAAATTTGGAAGGGGAAAAGTCTTTCTAAGGCCTAGATCGATGTATCGTACCAAAATGGACAACCTATATTAGTACAACCTATATTAATTAGTCTAGGAAAAACACTTTCTAGGTTGTCTTTTCAAATTTTAACTTTGGAATTATTTGTTGGAATGAGGAGAGTACATATTTAAAAATTGGGGTCAAACAAGTGGCGCTAATATAGTTTTTGGAGATTGTTTCATTATACTACTGTACAATCCGTTGCATGAAATCACTTCCTAATGAAATATTATTTACTGCAAATTCTCTGTTCTACTTGGCGTTAATATAAATTGGATGCATGGATATACAATAACATCTGAAGATTCAGTTTTTGATTTCATTGTGCAAGTTCTTTTTTAATGTAAACTGGAAGTATAGAAATAAATTATAATGTCATGGCTGATGTAGTCAGATATTAGTTATAAGAAGCATAAGTCTTGTACTGTTTACTTGGATGGTTTGATATCTCCTGGGTTTAAATGCCTCTAATTCTGAATGCAGGAAAAGGCAAAGATTAGGATGATGAAGCAAAAAGAATCTGATAAATCTGGATCATACTGGAGTGACCTATGGGGAAAGCCCAGGAGCTACCAAAGCACAGGTATTTCAACTTACACTATAAGTCTGGCGCTTAAAGAGTATCCATGCATGTCCTAGTAATGGTATAAAGGATCTTGATGTTTAAAGCTTTTCTGACTTGTTCATACCTCAAATAATCTGGAAGGTACGTGTGATTGATACTTTTATTTATTTGTTAAGTTTGGATGAATGGCCAAGACAGAAGCTGCTTGTTGGGATTATCCAGATTGCCCATCTAGTCTATTGTCTGCTTTGTGTATGGCATCCATGCATATGCATGTGAAGCAGTTAACGGAGAACATAATGCATTTATGGGCATGTATAAGAGTATATGGGCGCATTTATTTATTTTATCTTGGAAGCCTCACTTAAACCAGCAAGTTTGTCTGATGAAAAAGATCAAATATCCCATTCTCTCTCTCTCTCTATCCTATTTCTCTCTCTCTCTCT